CTTTGTAAAAGTGCTCAATTCTGGCAATTATATTATAAAAATTCGTGGGCTTCAAGTTTAAGGATTTAATGTAGCTAAATAAAGAAATAATATAATATAACAAATTATTTCATCACAACCTTTTATATTGGATTATTTGTTATTTTATTTGAATGATTTAATGAATACAAATAAGAAATTATTTGAAAATGGTTTGTTTGGTTTTAACATGAAATAAAATTACTTTTTCAACGTTATTAGTTGAAATAATTCATTATTTCAAATTGTTATATTTCATTTTATTTCAAATAAAATATATTGCTTCCTACCACGCCATCTGAATACCTTTGTTGTTCACTATACAGGGTATATCACCTAATTCGACCATCTTAAATATCTCGTAGCTTATTTTTTATGATAGGAAAAAATATCAAATGTAAAAGATATCAAATGTGGTGATAGGCAAAAAATTTTTCTCGGAGTCACTTTTTCGAAATGTCAAGGACATCGAAGTATTTTTAAATGGAACTACATATTTTCATGTCAACAATCTTACAACTCATAAAAGAATCATGAAATGTTTGAAATTAATTTCAATACCCGTTCAAAGTAAATGAAGGAATCTCAATTTCATTGAAACAGTGTGTTCACAATGATACTCCCACAACACCAGAAAACATGCGAGAAAGGGTTCTACATGGATATACATCAATTACTACAAAAGTACTTAAAAATATAGAGAAATCACCCATTTGCCGTCTCCAAAAGTGTGTTGAGGTTAATGGTGCATATTTTGAACACTTTCTGAAATAAGTATTTTGCATTGAAACGTCAATGTCTTATCTTTGCTTTTTCCCTATACAAACATAATATTCTCTTTTTTTTATATAAGCTATAAAACTGTTGTAATGAAAATATGTGGTCCCATTTAAAAATATTTTGATAACCTTGAAATCTCGAAGAAAAAAGTAACCATGAGAAAACTTTTTTGCCTATCACCACATTTTCCCCTTCGAACCGAATATTCTCTCCCTCTGATAGTTTTTCCTATCATAAAAAATAAGTGAGATATTTAAAATGGTCAAGTTAGGTGAAATACCCTATAAATGTATACATACATATGCATAAGTAATAAATGAAGGAATAATGCAGCAATCACAAAATGCTGCCCCTGAAATTGTCGTACTTACAAATATTCTATTTGGTACTATTAAAACACGATTAAAATATAAATCGAAGGAAAAATAACACCACATTCGTCGTTACATTAATTAATATATATTTCATTGATTATTTGAAATTGTGCTCTAAACTGCATTTATCAGAAAATTGTATATCGATAGATACTTGAATCTGATTTAGTAAGATCTTGTTACTCAAATCTAAACAACAATGAATACATTTATTACATAAAGGTGTTGTTAATCCTTCTAAACTGACAGTTCTACAATATTGTCGATGCATATCCTCCTATCATACATCGTAAACCAACTAAAAATAAACAGCTCGAAAACATATTTCATGCGACATCCTAATCTATAATTGTTTCATGTGTTTTCTCTCGTTATTGATTTCAAATCATCTTTGCCAACATTTGAAACATGTGTACATTTGACACTACTCGCAGAGACTCGAATTCCTTTTTTTACCTAATTTTTATTATATCCAACAGCAGTTTTTGCTTATGATGAAACATTGTTAGTTCGTCAAGCTGATCATGAGCACATTGATATCTCTCTTTAGGCAATATCCAGGAATTGCAAATTGTTTAATATTATTTAATGCTAAAATATAGATCATTCATATAATATATGTAAATAAATCATTGTGACTAATTGAATTTCGTTTCGCAGATTATGACCCACTTACTCTTCTTCCGATACTAATTCATCTTCTGGCACTGAGTACCGGAACGACCTTATACCTTTGTTCCAAGGAAAATTTTAAGAAAGCTATAGAGGAAAATTTTACATTGCTTAACACGTTCTATCATACTGCTGCGCAATTTTTTGTCCCAAATATATCAATGTAATTGCAAAGTACAATTATATTTCTCTTTAAACGGAACTCTACAATTTTCTCTTCATCTCCACCAAATTTTATATTATTTGTATTACTTATATATAGTTATTCAAGTCACTCAAATTAATTACAACATTATATTAATTTTTAATTAAACAATAATTTGCTACAAACACTGAATAACATAAAATAAATTGTATTATATAAATTTATGTAAAATAAGCTTGTATATGTAATACAAGAGAGAAAAATCATGCAGTTAGATATAGAGAAAAATGAAAAATCAAAATAAGATTAAATAGATCTAATATTTTATACATATTTATGAGTGATTCACATTTCAAATCATATTCACCTTCATAATCTTTACAAGTTAGCAACATTTAATTAATAAATCAGTAACATACTTGTCTCTCATCTCAAGAATTAAATGTTGCTTGTCCTGCAGCTCTTTCATTGATTTTTTAACAAAATAACCGTCTAGTAGACGTTGATTATAGAAAATTTTATTTTTTGTTGCCTTAAAAGATGAACTATTAATCTTATCCATAAAATATTTTCATCATTTGATGATTTTTTGGAATTTCAAAAATATTAATATGGTTGTAGAATAAAATAAATAAGTGTGTCAATGCTACCTTTACTCTCATATTACTCATATATATTTTCTACAAAAGTACTTTTTACAATATAAGTATATTTATCTTTTTTGTCCTTAATAGTGTTTAGAATATTTCATAACGTATAACATTGTATTAAAAAATTAATTAAATCAAAAGTTAAAAATAAATATATCTTACACCGTTTGTATTTTCACTATATATACCTAACCTTAATCTAAAAAGGAAAAACTTGTTCATAACATCTCACTCTGAAATTATCACAATGTATATCTACAAGCCAATCAATATCATGTGTGCTATTTGAAGTATTAACGTAATTTTTAAATAATTAGGTACATGGTAAAAATAGATATAACTTTTGATATTTTTGAATGATATTTCGAAAAAATGTCCATCAATAACGAGTTAAATTAATCGAAATAGTTGTTATGTTATTTATGTGCATACGTATACATTATGCGTATACATGTACGTGACATTATATATCATTATAGGTTCAAAAATTTGATTAATCAAGTATAAGTCCAATCAGTAGTTTAGTTTATTATATTGCTGCTACTATTTTTTGTAAGTATACAAAATAGTTAAGAATATAATTTGAATTCAATCCTTTGTTACAAAATTAATATAAAATGATAAAACACATAATATAGTAAAATTAAGTAATTAATGCTTTGGTAACAATCTTAGATATAGCGTGAATGTTGCATATGAAGGTTACAGGAGAAAACATGATAAGTACATTTTTCAGTTTTCTGACTTTAATATCACTTTATGATTAAAAAGGAGAATTTTAGTATGAAATATTTCAAAATCCAAATAACCTGCTAAGTCCACAGATGTAGGCCTTTTAAAAATAATTAGTAAATTGACGACAATTTGTAGAAGCCCAAGCTATAATTATTTTGAGAAGCAATATTTTAATATCTTCAATATCGTAACATTATGACGAGCAATGCATATTTTTTAAATTTTGGAGAGAATGAAAAAACACATGACTAACTCCGAAACCAAATATAAGGATACTAGTAATACGAAATTGATTGACAATGTAGTGAGTCCTAAAATTACCTTCCTGTAAAAGAAAAAAATGTAACTTATCATGTTCTTTTCCAGTAGTCTTCGTATGGCATCTTCTGGCTAAAATAAAATTGTACGATAATAATTTGTTATTTATAGTAAACTATTCCATGGTACACTCAATGATATAACTGACATGTATTGTACGATACATATGTATGTAATAATAAAATGCAGTCCTGAGTAAAATATGTAGAAAAAATATTTAAAATACTATTTTAAGTAGTCGTCATTTTACAGTTCAAATAAAATAGTATTTCAAATAGAAAACAAAATTTCGGAAAATAAAATTATTTTTATTTCCATATTGTATTGCATAAAAGTAAAATATTTAAACTTTGTATTATAAATAGTATCTAAAACATTTAACAATTAAAATTAAAAGTGAAAGTAGATTAAGAATAAAGTCAATGTTGGAATGTAAAAGTCCATAATATTTACAAATTAAATTTATTTTCTTTTTAAGGTTGACTATTCGCATATAACAAGGTGTATCGTTCAAAGTTTTCATCACTTAGACTACTCCTTTATGAACAAAAAGTCAATCCAGCGTAATTTAATAGTTTCTTAAATGAAGGACATGTCGATATCGACATATTATATTTTGAAAATAAATAAATAAAATTGTTTCTTCTACTTGTACTTTGTGATGCTTTAGATTCGCTTTAGATTCGACACTTTAAATTTTATCATCCAAATATTGTAATAATTCTAATTCTGTAATATTGTTGTGAGTGTCAGGGATATCACTACTGAGTTTTTCAATAAATGTTAAAAAGTCATGTTTCTATATCTTGTATTCTGCCTTGCGGAAATGAAAAAGACTGAAATCATGTATCTGGAATTGCTATTTCTTTTAAAGCTCTTAAACCGTTTCTCTAATATAATTACGTTTATCTATCATTATATTCTTTAGAAGCTACTGTAATCTTCATATTGGATAGTAAAGAAATATAAACTAAATAAAATATGTCAATAGAAGCCTCACTGCTTTTAGTATTCCTCAAATAAAATATTATTCTGTTTCTCACATTTTTTCACTAAAACTTTTTCTCGCAAGTAACCTATTTTATTTTCGAAAGTATACATACGAATTAAAGTAAAACGGGCGGTTTAGAATTTAATACTTGAAATAATATTTTACCCAGCTCTGATGAAATGCTATCCTTTTCATAATGCAAGTATCAAATGATTATGTACGGGCGTGTATTATATATTTGGACACCATTTCACACTTTTATTTATTCTTTAAAATAAGAAAGTCTTCGTTTAAAACAGTGACAGTTTTGTAGTTACCTTGTAACATGTATGTATTGTTTTTCTAAATATTGTTCTGATTGTTGTCAACGCTTTCACTGTGGTATTTTTAAATACTTCTTGTTCTCTTCTTCCTGTTCTTCTAATTTGATTTTTAGTAGACGAAGATAAACACTATGAATCACGTAAACATGAGAACACCAAGATCGAAATTTATAGTCGTATAAACAGGTTCAAAACGAGAGAGGATCGAACGATGATTGCTTCTCCTGGGCTACGGTCGGCGGTCAAGTCGACGTCGCTCACTGCACAGGCGTCGATCGATAGAAACAAGAAAAGCCACCCTTGCAACTTGCGAACTCTACCCAGGAATACAGGACACACAACATTTTATTATACTGTGTTTTTAAAGTTATATATATAACTTTCCAAATAATTCTTTTAATCGCTATTTTGATGTACAAATGATCTACGTATGGATTTGTACTTTCGGCACCTCCAAAATTGAAATAATAATGATAAAATCTATTAAGGCGAGATAAATATAGTTTTCCACTATATATATGGTAAAAATATTTTATCGATGTAGTAAAATACATTTTATGCAGTAAATTGCTGGTTCTAACATGACTATTTCTTCGTTGTAACAACACTTGTCATATTATTCAACAGCTTACAGTTTACAGATGACTGCCATCTCAGTCGAATTTGTGAGGATCCAATTATATTTATAAGCTAAAAATATTGACATTTCATCGAATATTCTTTTGAATCATTCTTTTTGATCCACTGCTTAAAAATAATAAACAATTTGTTCTGGAATGTTCTTGCTTTTTCCTAGAATTAGATCTGTATATACTGTCAGTTTTTGAGCCCAGAAAACTGATGCCAATAACGTTTGACTTAATTTCAGAAGAGATTTTTATCTAAGGGTAGGACAATCATTCAGGAAGTCGAAGTAAATAGCTGAATATGAAACGTATACAAATTACGGCACAACAGCATCATTTGATCTCATAAATATAGATTTTATATTTTTTGACATATTACAACCAAAGGTATAATATACATTATACGCAGGTTTTCGCTTAGGACCATTACATCTTGCTTTGAAGTTCTTTATAATAAATAAATGGCAATTTAAAACAATTTCATTTACAAGTACAAAACTGCAAGTATTAATTATTACATTAATAAATTGCAAAACGGTAAAGAGAAGGTGTAACATATATAAATAACTTTTTATTTCAATATGTTACATAAATATTACTACCATATAAAGTATTTTACTAAAGTATACATATATGTATAAATTATATCTACATTTTCAAGATTTTATATTGTGATATTTCTATCCATTTCTATCCATTCTATCCATTCACTTGTTTTAGCATCCAAAATGTGTTAATACCACATTTAATTCAAAAACACTTACTTGTGCTTTAAATGCAACACTTTTATTTTTTTCCTTCTTAATCTACTATTTACGGAGGAAATTGGGGAAATCGGAAATTCAGAAAATTATGAAACCGTATATAAGCAGAGTAAATCATATATTTTGTGTTTAAAGTCACCTCTTGAAAAAAATCTAAAATTTTCTTTTGCGTCAAAAATGTAGAGAAGAAGTTTAGACGAAGTTGTATCGTACTTTTGTTTACAAAAATATGTAAAAATAATTTGCGAAAATCCATATTTCTTAACTAACCTTACCTTTAATTCTGAACAAAAAAGTTAGACATTTATATTATGTATGTCGGAGATAAAAAGAAAGCCGAAGCCTTTCCTTGGAAATTTTGGGAACATCCTCTAGTACTCTAGCCTAGATTTCATCATAGCTGTAATTGTTCAAGATCTGTGATAGCGAGATTGAGTTCGAGGTGATAATTGGTCGCCGAACGTAGCCACGGTCACGAGATGGAGGTTTTGTCTAACGGAGGTTTGGAGTGCTTGTATAGGTTTTCCGAGAAATGTGGTTGTGGCGGCATGCGGCCTCGGGAGCAGGCCTAGCCACGTGTGAGGTTGTCTCGGAGGTGCCGATACAATGGGACATACATTGTATTAATAATCAAACTCCAGGCAGAAATTCAGTTCGCTGTGGAGTGCCGAAGCGTGCAGACGTGTCTCTAGTGCCCAGTGTAGTCCGAAAACAACACGTGTCGCCCAACCGTCGAAAGTGAACACAGCCAAGTGTTTCCTATCCTTTAGGGAAAAGAAAATCCCACGCACCTAACCCCAATCCGAATACTAGCCTCACTAGTTATTCACTTTGAATTAACTAGCTCGATGATGGCCCAGCAATCGCGACCAGGCTCTCCGGAGCAAACTCGCAACTACCCCGCGCTACCTCCTCCGTGGCAGAAGTG